CTATTAACCACTTTTGTTCTGTTTCAGTCTAATGATCATTCACTTTGACAGAGAAAAGAGAAGGAAAATACTATTTGTGTAATTTTACCTTCATGTCATTTGCTTTTATCTCCTTATCTATCCTATGATCTTCTACTTTAACTCAAAAAGCAAGCACCTCTTTCCCCCCAGAGCAAATTTTATTGTTTTGACTTTCTTTGATAGCCTCAGTTGACTCTGAGCTTTAGCATCTCATGTGATATGTGAGCCATAGAGATCATGAAATTTCAGATTTGAAGTAGCCTTAGCCATTATCTAGTCTAACTCTTTCATTTGCAATGTGAAAAAAATAAGGACCTGAGAAGGAAGTGATTTGCCCAAATGCCACACAGAGAGTCAGAGTCAGAAGTGGGACTGAAACCTAGGTCTCCTGGCTCCCAACTCAAGTTCTTTCCATGTACATTCTTCTGTATATGGCATGGTTTATATCAAATGGCTTCTGCTTCCCTGAATATCCCTGGCTAGTAGAGATGCCTGCTGTTTCTATGTTAATGTGTGAGCGAGGACTCCCTGCTAAATTCCTTCTCCTTTCCCAAAGAAATTTTTTTCAGCCAGTTAGTTAGCTGGGAAATTTTGAGTATACTGTGTGCTTCTTCTCCCATTCCCACCCCAAGTGGTCATTGACATCCTACCCAAGGCTGAGGAAAAAGGTAGAGGTGTTAAATGATTTCACTTCCCCTTTCATGTACCTATATGTAAAAATATAAGATGTCAAACTCAGAAAATTCATTTTGTGAAATTTGTGTGGGTTTTTAAAATATCTTTTCAGGCCATTTTGAGAACATCTTGACTGAGGACAGTGTAAATGATCAAACCAAGATCCTTGTGGTGAACGCAGCCTATTTCATAGGAAAATGGATGAAGAAATTTCCTGAATCTGAAACAAAAGAATGTCCATTTAGAATCAACAAGGTATGTGCTCCAGGTGTCCAGGAGTCATAAATGTTGATTATCAAAGGCTGACCTGGGAGAGATTTTATAGGATTTATATTTCGGTAGGGGAGGTCCCAAATAGTTATGACCCCTTAGAAAAGGACCCAAACTATTTAGGACTCTAAAAAAAGAAATAATAATTCTACAGATTATAATGAACTATTGGTACACCTATATTTCAAGCCCCACCTTTGGGTGTTCCCACAATCAGCCACTGACCGTCTGTGTGCCTTTGTTCATCTGTGAAATGGGAATAGTCGTATTTTGGTTTGTAAAATGGATGAACAGTTTGGTAAATATAAATATGTGTCATATATGTCTAGAATAGTTATATATCTAGCATCTCATCCTTCTACCTTTCTCCAAGGGAAATTTTAATTCCTGTTAGGAGGGAAAGTAGGAGGTTGGGTCTGAAGGCTGGCCACCACTCTGGTCTCCTCTGAGAGAAGGGGTACTGGGTTAGAATTATTTCTACCTTCTCCCTTAAATATTATTAGTCTAGAGAATGTAATTTTTAGGCTCAATCTAAAGTCCTGATTGCTATATCTAAAAGGATAAATGGGGGGCAGCTAGGTGGTGCAGTGGATAGAGCATCAGCCCTGAAGTCAGGAGGACCTGAGTTCAAATCCGGCCTCAGAGCAAACACTTGACACTTACTAGACCCTGGGCAAGTCATTTAACCCCAATTGCCTAAAAATAAAAAAAAAAACTTAAAAAAAATAAAAGGATAAATGATGACTCCAAGCTTTATATCAAAGGCTTGACTCCTTTCTCATCACATGCTAGGCCCACAATGAATATACATAGCAAATAGCAAATAAATCCATTTATCCAAGTAAGAAGCAAAATGAGAAAGTATACATAGGAGAATATAAATAAATGGATATATATATATACACAAACATACATGCAAACATATACACATATACATACACATACATATATGCATATATATATATATGCATATATATATATATACACACATATATCAGGACAATATACAGAGTAAATGAGTTCTCCCATTGAGAGTGAGGTAACTCAGCTCAACCAAGAGGGAAGGTACCTGATTTCGTCTCAAGGGAAATTCCCTGAAGTCTCTAGAGCAGCAAACTGTGGGGAGGGACATGAGGAGGCTGTCAGCTCTTCCTGCGTCAGCTTCTTCCTGGAGTCTTTCTTCCTTTATGGTCATGAAGAGAGGTGGGAATCCTGTGCATCTTTTCTTTCCATCCTGGAAGCTGGAAGAATCCAAAGAGACTGAAGAGACTGAATCTCTCCTCTGTCTTGCTCTTGCCAACTCCGCCCTGCCCTTCATATAGATGTGGGGCATGGATCTCTACAAATGAGGAAAGAGTCCCATATCAATGGGCTTTGGTTACATAAGAAAAGACATTAAAAAGCAAATTGACATTTCTACTTTTGATGAGGGGTTAGTTATTGCCTGAGGCTAAGTAGCAGATTTGAAATTGAGACCCAAAATACAAGGAACATCTCAGAGAATAACCTTAGGAAAATAATTTACTTCTCCATTTCCTTATTTGTGAAATCAGTATAGTAATAACTGATAGCTACTAAAAAACAAGGCTGATGGTTAATAGCAAATCATGAGAATAGGTTTCATTTACATTTGTAAAATAATTAATCAGGAAAATAAAAGTAATTATTTTTCACAAAAAAGGTTGGGGAGCCCTGGTCTATACAATATCAGTGGTATTGACTATAGGAGAGAATACCTGCCCCCTCTTGAGAGGGGTGCCTGATGTACCAGAGGGGAAAACCCCCAACTTTCATTCTTAGTCTTTACAAACAAATCCCCCAGTTTCCAAAATGTTTTGTGAATTATGTTTTCATTATTTGCTTTCATTCTGAGATGAGAGGGTACCAAACTTGTTGTGGGTTAGAGAGGTGTAGCAGCCACTCAAAAATCAGCAAAGTATAGGGGGAGAGAGAGCACTGGAGACTTGGGTTCAACAGGAAGTAAGGAAACAAGCAGTTATTAAGCACCTACTATATGTCAGGAACTATGCTAAACACTACAAATATTATCTCATTTGATCCTTACAAATTAGAGGTAGGTGTTATGTTATGATCACCATTTTATAATCACAGAAACTGAGGCAGACTGTGCTTAAGTGACTTGCCCAAGTCATTTGATTTCTCTGGGCTTCAGTGTTCTCTTCTGAAAATAAAGGCATTGGACTGTGTGATCTCTAAGAATCCTCTAGAGAGCTACCAGAATCTATCTGTAGAACACATTAGTGCTAGCCAGATTCCTAATGAAGCAAGTTCTTACAGTGCATAGCCACTCTCATATCGTGTTGGATTATCGTCGGGCTGGCTATTGGTCCTCTTATCTAAGGAAATTACTAGAAACATTTCTGCAAAAAGATTCTGTTTTTTAAATTTTTACATGAAAATTCGAACCTGCCATTAAATGGTAGCCCTGAGTAGGATTTAGTGCCAGTCATAAACTTAATGAAGCACATTATTGTAATGATGGGAGAAGGGGGAGAAGAGGGAGAGGTCAGAGCATCCTTGACTTCTTTTTTCTCTGAAATCTCCATGGGCTTTCCAGTTTTGAATTGTCAAAAATATGAATGAATGCCCTTTGAGATGGGGGAAAACCTTAGCACTCCAGCTTTCTCATTTATTAAATTTTAAAGCTTATTCAAGCTGGATCTGGGCCTGATACCCTGACTCTGTGAACAGGATTAATAAGGGACTAGGATGTCAGTGATCTTTCTCTGTTTCTCCTAATAGGGCAATAAAATGTCACTGGCAGACTCTGGTGATGCTTTCTTCCTGAGGACAGCAGAAGCTATTACTTGCCTGTGATTGCTTGGATTTCTGTCAGTCCTTGCACTTTTGAGTCACATTATTAGAGCTTTTCTCACATCTTATGCCATCTCCTTCAAGGCTTGCCCTAAATTTTTGAAGCTATTTATAAGTAGTTTAGTACATCTGTCTATTCCTACATAGGTGACCCAAATTCAGTTCTGGCATATGAAATAAATGAAGTTTTTGGGAAACCACAACTTTATCTAAATTTAGGGGTTTTCAATTATTTAACTGGATAGAGATCTTAAAATTGGAGTCTAATCCCTAACCCATTTTAAGTATAGTAAGTCCAGAGGAAGAACCTGGTCATCTACTTTACCCATCCTGACTCTAGAGGTTTCCAGTCATATGAGAAAAGTGAAGGAGGTGACTGCCTTCCAGTGATTTGGAGATTGACCATGAATATCTTCCCTGATGACTTAACATGACCATTGAATTTTTTTTACCAGAAAAATTTCAAACCTTTGAAAAGGCAATGCCTCAGTGGGAAGGGTGAATCACTGAATTGTCAATTCTTTATTCTATAGTTTGAATTAAATGATCATAGATTAACAAGAAAAGGAAACTAAGGACAGGTAATTTTTGATGGTGTGGTGTGTGTGAGTGTGTGTGTGTGTGTGTGTGTGTGTGTAGGTAGGAGAAGGGAACAAGGAGAGAGATATATAGAAATGTTTTATTTTCCACAAGTCAAAGAATATTGGAGCTGAAAGGTGTCTTAGAGACCATTTAATCCATGTTTTACAGAGGAAGAAAAGTGGGGTCCATCGAAGTTTGAGTGATTCACCCTAGTTGTGCATCTAGTTTATGAGCTAATGGCAGCGTTGAGACTAAAATCTGGGTCTTTTGGTTCCTAATCTAATATTCTTTTCTACTAACCATGTGGCAAAGGGACAATGGAGAGGAAAATTTAAAAAAAAGTAAAAGGAAGCAGATAGGCAAATATGAGCTAACTACTGACATTGTTACCCTGGACCAACCCCATTTTGTGGTTTCCAGAAGGAATACAATCAGAAGGTTTAGTCCAGGGGTGGGGAATCTGCAGCCTCAAGGCCACATGTGGCCCTCTAGGTCCTCAAGTGTGGCCCTTTGACTGAATCCAAACTTCACAGAACAAATCCCCTTAATAAAGGATTTGTTCTGTAAAACTTGGACTCAGTCAAAAGGCTGCACCCAAGGACCTAGAAGGCCACATGTGGCCTCAAGGCCGCAGGTTCCCCACCCCCAATTTAGAGGCAACCTACTCTACTTTACATGGATGTTCTTTTGCAAAGTAGTTATTAAAAAGGACATGCAATTTTGCATCATTATTGGTACTGAAGTTAGCTTCAGCAGGAATTATGGAAGAGAAGGCAGCATAGTACATATAAATGGAGAGAAAGAATAGTAGTAAGTGGCCTAAGAGTCAGGAACCTGGGATTTTCATCTTAGCACTGAAAGCATTGGACTGTGTGATCTTGGACAAATCATGTAATCTCTATGAACTTCGGTTTCTGGGTGTGTAAACATGGAATTTGGACTAGACCAGAGGCTATTAATCTGTGGTCTGTGAACTTAGTTTTTAAAAAATATTTTTAAAACTATTTCATTATAATTAGTTTCCCATGTATTTTATTTTATATATTTTAGAAACATTACTCTGAGAAGGGCACCATAGGTTTCACTAGCCTGTCAAAGGTGTCCATGACACAAAAAAGGCTAAAAATCCCTGGGCTAGATGATTTCTAAGGTGACTTCAGGCCAGGAGTGGTGAAACTGAGGCCTCAAGACCACACAGCAGGTTCCCCATCCCTGCTTCAGGCTATAACACAGCGGGACTTACTTGTTAAGATATGAATGGTTTGAAGGCTGGTGTTAATAGTTTCTCTGCCTAGCCAGGCACAGGTTATTGTGAAAGCCTGGAATGCCTTACCAAGTGAGGGTGTAAATGTTTTATGGAGCTTTGGGAAAGTAGTCTTATTTGGAAGTAGGTAGAGAGATTAGATGTCGTTTTTAAGCCTTCTGTGCCTCTGATAAAGGCAAATTAAGTTGTGCACAGATGCTGTCTTTCCTGATTGTGGCAGATACCTACTTGTTTTCTATGTTTTACAGACAGACACTAAACCAGTGCAAATGATGAACATAGAAGCTACATTTTGCATGGGCAATATCAAAGATATAAACTGCAAGATCATAGAACTTCCCTTTCAAAATAAGCACCTGAGCATGCTCATTTTACTACCAAAAGATGTAGAGGATGATTCAACTGGATTGGAAAAGGTAAGGAATCTAGGTGATGCTTTCATATATAATCACTACCTTGTAACAGGAAAACAGTTGTGAAATCCACCATTTGGGGATTTGATGAAACCTAGGTTGCCTTGATGGGAAGCAGCGAGGAGGCATAGTGGATAGAGTGTTGGAAGAAGAGTCAGGGAGACACCTCTTCCTGAGTCCAAATTTGGCCTCCAACACTTATTAGCTGTGTGACCCTGGGCAAGTCACTTAACCCTGTTTGCCTCAGTTTCTGTAACTGTGTAATGAGCTGGAGAAGGAAATGGCAAACCACTTCAGTATCTTTGCCCCAAAAAACCCCATCATCTCAGTTTACTTTGTATATTTTGTATCTACTTAGATGTGCATGTGTTATTTCCATTAGTTGACTATAACCCCCATGAGGGCAGAGACAGTGTTTTTTTTTTTTTAATTTTCTTATCCCGGGTGCCTTTTCCAGTTTGTGGCATATGGTGGGTACTTAATAAATGCTTATTGATTTGATTTGTCATTTTTATGTTTGGAGTTGAGGTAAAGAAAGTTTTTTTTTCTTTTATGCCCCTTGCTAATAAACTATGTTTTGCTTTTTTCTTCTTTCAGGTTGAGAAAGAACTCAGCCCTGAGACTCTTCAGGAGTGGACCAACCCCAGTACAATGGCCAGTGCCAAAGTGAAACTTTCAATTCCTAAATTTAAGGTGGAAAAAATTATTGACCCTAAAACAGATCTGGAGAGCCTTGGAATGAAAAATGTCTTTGATGAAAGTACAAGTGATTTCTCAGGGCTATCAGAGACTAAGGGAGTGGCTTTGTCCAATGTCATCCACAAAGCCTGTTTAGAAATATCAGAAGATGGTGGTGATTCTATAGAAGTACCAGGATCTCGAATCCTGCAACATAAAGATGAATTTAATGCTGACCACCCATTTATTTATATCATCAGGCACAACAAAACACGCAATATCATTTTCTTTGGAAAATTCTGTTCTCCTTAACCCAGTATATAATCAAGCCTGTCTGACTTTTACACAGGTGCAGCTTTCTATAAACTTTGCACTGAGAGAATTACTTTCTAACTTTGGCATGTTATTAATATTTTTGGAGCAGGGAGCAATAAATACTTTTCATATGCAGTCATCACATAGAATAGCCCTCTTTGTTTAAAGCTATTTTTTTATTTCACTCCTTTCTCAAAAAAGAGAATAAGGTGAACTTTTTTTGCAAAAAAATTTATCATACAGATATAAGTATTTATTTGGTGATTGTTTGTTTGGGGGCCACTCTCAAACATCTCTGGAGGAGCCACCTACAGGGGATGAGCTTCTGCCATTGGTCATTGAGATGTAGCAAATTCTGGTAAGGCTAGTTCTAAGTGCAGATTTGGATGGAGTGAAAGATTTAGTGTATGTGATTCACCGATGTTGTTATAGAGGGCAGGGCAAGGGTTGAGTGGGCTGGGAATACAGGGGTCTATGGCAGACTTTAGAAGCCATGCAAAATTGGATCTTGACAGAAATTTTCATTTGGTTTAGTTCTCCTTAGTGGCTCTAGCTAGAGCATAAAGCAGTCTGTTGTTGCAGTAGGAGTTAGTCTGTAAGTCCTGATGGGAAGGTCAGAACTACTCAGAGGGTGAACTCTTTCCTAGAGTGTATCTGGTTGGTGCTGTGTCCACCAAAAGGTAGCAGTGGATTCCAAGTAAAAACCAAAGAGTTTGGAACACCTGGTGTCAGGTCCCTCCAATGCTTGTAATCACTTACAATTTGAGCTAAAAAGACCTTTTGAGCATGGGAAGAGAAAGGCTGGGAATTGGACTCTTGTCTGGCATGGTGGTGGGAAAGAAGGGGGACTTTGGTAGGTTTTTGCAGAATAAAACTCAAATGATTAAAGGGCTTTTGACACTTCACCATTCTGTAATGTTTCTAACTTGAGGGACTGATTCAATGAGGGTTTAGTTGGGATTTGGAGTCAATGGGCATTTGTAAAGCAAGTTTGGTAAGTTGCTAGCACAACACAGATCCATCTGTTAATTCTGGGCAAAAGGAATATGATTACTTGACTAATGGGTTACTTTGTGCCTGGGTCCTCTAGTTTCCATCTCTATTTTCTTGCTGCATGTGTTTGGTATTGAGTTCACCTTATCCTATTCAGAATAAAAGTATTATTACATTAAATGTCTATAGCTTTCTTTCTATTATGCCTGCCATTTAAGAGGACACAATTGCTGTGACTTTACATAACATTCTCTGTTTTTAAATGTCATAATCAAACCTTATTGTAGGGGAAAAACTTATAGGAATATCAAAGATAAAGGGGACAGAGAGGTCTGACTCCAGAAGTTTAGAGATGATGAAATTTTGAGGCTCAAATGAGCATTTGAGAATGGGAAGGAGCTTTGGTGACCATGTAGTCCAATCCATATGCAAAAAGAATCCCTACCTGACAGGTGGTTGTTCAACCTCTGCATGAAGACTTAAGAAGAGGAGGGATCCATTACTGCTCTAGGTAGCTGTTGGACAGCTCTCATTGCTAGGAAGTTTTTCCTGACATCAAGTCTGAAGGGTCTCTTTGCAACTTCTGCTGATTTTCTTCTACTTTAGCCCTCTGAGCCAAATAGAACAAATCCAATCCTTTCTCCACATGACAGCCCTTCAGATAGTTAAAGACAACTATTATGTTCCTCCAGTCTTTTTCCCCAAGCTACCCCACTTTCTTCACCAAATTCTCTAAAGACATTGACTCAAGGCCCTTTTTCTCCATCCTGGATGCCTAGGGTCCCACAGCTCCCAAATGGCACATCCTACTTCCTTTCCTTTGCTATACACTTCATCCATCCCCCAAACCCTCCTCATGTTCCACCTTCCCACCCCCAATCATCCTCTTTTAAAACTTTTATCAGAGAGAGGAAAGGGGAGAAAACAAAACAGGATATTCTGTAATATTTTCACCTACTAAGATGGGATGAAATAAGGCCTACAAAGTAGCCCTGGAGCCCCTTTCTATCTCAAGCTCTGGACAAAACAACTTGTTTTCTTTTTTTGTAATAAATTATGTTTCACTTTTCAAGAAGATTGCTTTCTCTTATTGAGCATTAGTTTCTGCACCATCTTATGTTTAAAGTAAATTATGATGCCCTTAGGCACAATTCTCATCTTGCGGTGCAAAAGAAAGAGAACTGATTCTGGAGTTGGGGCCCTGGGTTCAAATCCTAGTTCTGGCAATTGTGCAATCTAGAACAAAAAGACATTTGCTCTTCCTAGGCCTGTTTCCTCATCAGTAAAACGAGAGGGATGGACAAGACGGTCTGCAACCCTTTCCAGTTCTGGAGCTATGATTTAGATCCTATGATTTTACTCTTTCTGCTGTGGTAGATATCTGCATGTCACAACCCTTGTTGAAGTCTGCTGGGGGACAAACCTATGCTCAGATCAGCCCATTGGAACATGAAAATTAAAATGGGTAACTTCCCACTATATTGACTCCTATCAAAGGTAACTAACTATAGCCAACCATAAGTAGGCATGTCCATTTGGAACCATTTGGTCCCCTACCTAGTCTTAGGGTGACTGGCCTTCCTGATTCCCATCTCTTCTAATCAAAATTCTCTATACAGGTGGAGGCAGGTTTCCATTTGGAAGCTTTTGTGGCAACCTACACATTCTCTGGCATAGTCAGTTGCCTTTGTTGCCTAAGTAGAAGGCAGGTTATACTGTATTTCCAAATTTCTCCCTAAAAAAAAATGAATGAGGACCCCAATAGACCTTTTTCTATACCTGATAGTAAACAGATGTAAGAGCAGCAGGGAAACCAAATACCTGAATAAAACAATGTGATTGCTTGCTGACAGCAGTATGCTGGGGAAGTATTGCCCCTGCTGTGGCTGTTGATAATCAATCAATCCACAAGCATTTATTAAGGACCTCCTTTTTTTTTCCAGGCACTGGGTTAGGTTCTGGGGATATAAAGACAAAAATTAAATGGTCCTTGACCTCAAGGAGCTTATATTCCATCACCAAAAATATATTTGATGATTATCTGCTATATTTGAGGTCCTGAGATAAAATTATGTGGGAGTTTACAAAGAGGCATGTGATAGCTCCTGAGCTCAAACAGCTGATAATTTAAATGAAAAAAAAAAAAGTTAAAAATCTACAGAGTTGGGGCAGCTAGGTGGTGTGGTGGATAGAGTTCTGGCCTTGGAGTCAGGAGGACCTGAGTTGAAATCTGGCCTCAGACACTTGACACTAGTTGTGTGACCTTGAGCAAGTCACTTAACCCCAATTGCCTCAACCCCCCCCCCAAAAAAAATCAACAGAATTTGAGAGAATATAGCACTGAATTGCAGAATCTAAAAATTGGAAGCTCAGAGGAGATCTAGTCTAACTCATCAAGAATCTCTGCTGCAACATATCCAATAAGTAGTTAAGTAGCTTTGACTTGAAGATGGTTAATGAGGGGGTAGCCTTTTGCATAACTCTAGTTGTTAACAGTTTTTCTTGACAGCAAGCCTAAGTTTATTTCTATGGAATTTCCAATCAGTGTTCTTAGGTCTACCTTCTGGGACCAAGCAAAACAAATTTAATCCCTCTTTCATGTGATATTATCTGTCATGCTCCCTCTACCCCACCCCCACCCATTCTTCTCTTCTCCAGAGTAAATACCCATCTTCCAGAAATCTCTTCAACTGAGCCTTGTAGGCATAATTTTGAGGCCCTTTACGATCTCTTTTCTCCATCCTCCCCTGCTTATCAAAGACTTTCCCAAAACGTGGTGTATGGAAATGAACACAATACTCCAGACATAGCAAGAGCATTTGGACTTCATCTCTCAATTCATCCTAAGGTTACATTAAGCTTGTCACACTCTAAACTCGCCATATCTTTGTCAGACAAACTATTATTCGGCTCTGCTTCCCTCATAAGTTTTAGAATCCCACTTCATTTCTAGACCTTTCGTGGGACTTTACGCCTACACCTATTATATTTTGTCTTATTAGATTTGACCTTGAAATCCATCAAATTCCTTTTGAATCCTGATACAATGTGTTTGCTATTCCTCCCAAATTTGTGTTAACAGCAAATTTGATAAGTGTGCCTTCCATTACTTTGTCACTGTCTAAGATCATGGGATTAGGACAAAAGCAAGAGACCAACTCTATTCAGATTCCATACCATACGGCCAACTCTGGCCAAAGGAAAATGTTCGCAAAAGCCAGAATAACATTTTCTAATAAAGTACTCTGAGCCATATATATTAAACTATTTGTGACATTACTTTTGTGGTAGCAAAAAAACTGGAAAGAATGTAGATGCCCATCAAATAGGGAAAATGCTGCATAAATTGTGGTATATGAAAATAATGGAATATCACTGTGCTGCAGAAAATAGTAAACATGGGGGATTGAGAGAAACGAGATAAAACATGAATGGATACAGAACAGAAAATGGAACTAGAAAAAAGAAAATATACAACGACTTTAATATAGAAATAAAGTTGAGATTAAAATTCAGCTTGACTCAGATGAAATTCAATGGCCATGGAGAACACGTAATTAGATACAGTTCTCTCAATAGAGACACTGGGGACTGTAGGAACAAAATCTTGCATGTTCCTGGAGCCATGGGTGCTATATTAGACAATTGTGCTTAACTGCTTTTCTTTGTTATAAGAGTTCTATGTTGGGGGCAGGCTAGGGTGGGGTATATTGGGGGGAAATTTTGATATAAAAAGAAAAGGCATTGGGAAAACTTTTTTTTTTTCTTCAATTGGTATCTGTGGTCAGGAGAGACCTAGTGTTGGGAAACCAATGTAGCTAGAGTGCCATCTAGTGAGGCCAGTTATATTTCCCCTGATAATCATTTGTGTTCAATTCAATTGAACTGCTCTGCTTTTCTCTCCAGATGACAATAAGGTGTATAAAAGAGGATGGCATTTGAGGAATGTATTTGAAATCAACATTTGAAAGCTATATTTGAATTCCCTAAAGTTTTGAACTGCAATTAATAAAACAGATTATAGCCCTTTGAATCTGAAGAACGTTAAATTCAGAATCAGACTTTGGGCAAGTCACTTCACTGGTCCTCAGTTTCTTCATTTTTAAAATGAGGAGTTTGAACTATATTGCTTCCAAGTTTTCTTCTAGTTCCAAATCTATGATCCTAAGTATAAGACATAACACCTACAGTTAGGTGGATGGCAAGATATAATGGAAAAAGCCCCCAGTAGGAACATAGATCTAGACTTGGAAGATGAAAACCATTTAGTTTAACCCCTTTATCTCATAGATGAAGAAATTGAGGCCTTGGGGAGATTGAATCAGGAGACCTGGATCCAAATCTTAGCTCTACCACTTACAAAACATTTAATTTCTCTGGGCTTATTTCCACAATGGTAAAATGAGGGAATTGCACTCTAAGGTCCTTTTCAGCTCTAATCTAAGACCATGTAACATAGAAAGTTCATTGTTTGGTAAGTACAATTGCACAAAGCAGGCTTTAGAATTCGGGTGTCTGAATTTTACAGTGTAAAATGAGAACTAAATGCACCCCTCTGGGTTCACTCTCCCAAGTGAAGTTCACCAGTGGGTTAGGTTCCCAAAGGGCAATGACCACCTCTCTCCTCAGGGTTCTAGGAGTAACCCTGAGTGGACAAATTTTTGGGTACTGTTGCTGATGAGCTCCCATCTGATATGCTCTTTAATTTTTTTCAAAAGGAACATTTACTAACCTCAATTTTTTCAAAAGGAATATTTACTGAGAAAGATGGAAGTTACAAAATATTCCCCAATCCAAGGGTGTACACATACACAGTCCCTTTGGAAAGTGGGTTCAAATTTAAAGCACAAGGTAGTGAGGTACACACGTAGGGAACATGTGAGGTCAAGGGATATTTCATGACTTCTAACCCTGGGAGTCATTTTCTCCCTTCATGGAGTCTGAACTTCTATCATGTTACCTATATCTCCTGTCTAATCTTGAGTCTCCCCTGGAATTGTGTAGTGGACAGGTGGGTGCCTCACTATTGTATTTGTTCATATCTTGCCTGGTTTCTAGCTTCCCATGGGAAGAGAAGTCCCATCCCTTCTTATCAGATTCTCTTTGCTGAGGTGTGGGGAAAGGGTGTCATTCCTTCAAATTTCTAGTCCAAAAGGATCTACATAAAATAGAGAATCCCA